AGTTATAACATGATTGTTTTTTTAATATTATTATTATTATTATTATTATTATTATTATTATTATTTTGGGAAAAAAACGAGGGTCAGTTGTGTTTATGAGCACCGGCTTCTAGCTGCAGGCTCTGCTGCTTTAGAGCACAGTAGCTAATTTAATTCTCCCGACGATCGACTAAGACAATTTAATCGAATGCCCATCACTAGTATTTGATGACCTGGGAATAAGACTCAACAATCTTTCTGGCCTCTGATTGATTGTTTTCATTTAGGCCCGGTGGATTCTTGCAAATGCCATTAGGAAAACTAGGAGGAGCCAGAGGAACCTGGATTTTTCACAGATTATCTGTCTCATGTACTGCTGTCAGGATATAGTGAACGTTTCAGCAAATATGACAAAAAGTAATTTTTATTAAAAAAAAATGTCCTATTGCAGCTTTAATTTGTATGAGCACTTACATTAAGGCAGGAGTGTGACTTCATTCTCTGCTCAGGACACCATGACTCCACTATATCTTTACAAAGCTAATAGTTGTTTGCTGCTATATTAATGTTTTAAATCTTGTGTATATATATCTTACCTTTAAAAGTGCAATATGCTGAATTTATGAGAGCTGTGATAGTGAAGGTCATTCCAGCTCCTCAATGTTTTTTACTAATGCACACGTCAGTCTAATCAAGAATAGTCAAATGACAGGTTTGAAATATGTTCTAAACAGATTACATGAAGTTGGCTGAATTGATATCACTACCAGGATAATTTTCCTTAGAGTTATTTTGTAAATAGAAGCTTTTAATATATTGATAGCATTTTGACTGAGAAGAGAAAATATGTATGCATAGAGTCATGAATCTACCCAGGAATTTATTAAACACTGTATATGTACCTTTTATTGTTTATACATGATAAAAATTTTGTTTCTTCAAACCTGCTGTGCATTTAACATACATTAAATATACCTTTCACATTCTATTTTATAAGCAAATTAGCTATGTGTTAACTACTAAAATCTTCTTCATAAACTATCTTATCCCTGAGTTTGAGCTGTAGTACACATTTTTTTTATAAAAATAACTTTTTGTTATATTTGCTGAAACTTTCACTATATCCTGACAGTAGAACATGAGACAGATAATCAGTGAAACAATCAAGTTCCTCTAGCTCCTCCTAGTGCTCCTAATGATATTTGCAAGAATCCACCGGGCCTGAAAGAAAACAACCAATCAGAGCTGGGAAACATGTAAAGACGTGTTGGGCTGGTGGCTTGAAGATGGTTGATTGTCAAGTCTCATTCCCAGCATCAATATGTAATGGCCTGGGAATGAGACTCTACAATCAACTGTCTTTCTCACCTTTGATCCTTTGATTGGTTGTTTTCGTTTAGGCCCGGTCAGGATATAGCGAAAGTTTCAGCGAATATGACAAAAAGTTATTTTTATAAAAGTTACCTACTGCAGCTTTAACTGTCATAAGTCTCTTTCATCTGATTTACTGATGTCAGATACATGGACATTTAAGATATTACAATCACTGGAAAGAATGACTGATTCTTCCACCGTGTGTATGATGTGTATTAATATATTAATAACTGCAGTTATAATGTTATATTCTGTTTAAATATCTATCAATGATATGCACATAATGCAAATAGGCCTATCTCTATACAGTGGTCAACAACCAATAGCAGACCCAGAAAGACACCACTCATTTACATTGGCTAAGGTTTCACTACATCCAATAAGGAACCCATTGACATCCAGGAAGTAGTCCTGCACCAATCGGAAAGTAGCCGTAGTGATTTGGCCCCACCCATGGTCCAACCTCTGCTGTCAGTAGTTGTTAAACTGACAACTGGAAACTGTGGTAAGGGAGTTAGGAGTTGCGAAAACGACAACAAAGACCAATTGGACAAAGTACCGCGGAAATATTGATGTAACTATGCAGACAGTGAACAGGACACTGTGTTTGTACTTAGAGACACGCAGTAGAAATGTAGCATCGCAGAAATGCAAAGTGCAGACAGCTTGGGACTGACTGGACGTCGGGAATTAACTTAAGAAACTTTGGTGGCAAACTGTTATGGTGGCGTATAGGTCGTCTGTCGAAAAACAAGTCAGTTAGACAGGGGCCTATTTAACAGGACTTTGTACTTTTACAACTCATATTGTTGCATAAACAACACTATAAACTGAACGTGGCTGATTATGTCAGCGTCAACAGCCGAGGCCAGCTCATCCCAGCAGCGGGTTAAACAGAGCGGCTCCCCGACAGCCCCCTGCCCCTCCTGTAGCAACAACACCACCGCGGTCCGTTTGCAGCCTATCCGCGCCACGGTGCCGTACCAGCTTTTGCGTGGAAATCAGCACAGCCCAACCCGCTCCGTTTCCTCCTCCTTCTCAGTAGCTGGGAGCAACATAGGTCCAACGACGTCCCGTTGCTCCAGTCCCGCCAACCCGGGTGGAAGCGGCTCGGACGGTAGGCTGGTCCCCAGGCAGAGGCTTTCGCCGCCGGACAGCAGGAGCTCACCAGAACGCCCATCACTGTCGTCTCTATCCAAAGGTAATCCGCCCTTTAAAGTCAATGAAGTTTACCTTTAATGCACCCGTCATCGCTATGATAGCTTGGTGCTAACTTATGCTACGACTCGTTCTGTCACGATCGTCACGCCAAACTAGCTTAAACAATCTGACAATTGAATGGTTTCGGCGACGAAAGAACACGATACGTGTATTGAAAAATGACAACCAAGATTTTTTCTGAACAACTACATGGTGCTGTTATGTTCGGCGAACGTATAGACCACAATTTAACATTTAACTTGCATAAAATCTCACATGTAATAATTTACCTCGCCATGAGGCGCCACGTTGTTTTGGTAAGAGAAGCTAGTGGAAATGACGGGTGAAGCGGCTCAAAATATTATATTTTAATGCAAATGAGGGAAGTTCAGTAAATTGGACATACGCCGAATTGTAAATCGGGTTGTCATTATTCAGACAAAAGTTGTTGGGTTATTTTAAAGCCTATATAAGTTTGTCAATATACCAGACCAGCTAAAACTACCAAGTTTTTCATAGCAAGATTCATTGTAGCGAGCCGTCCTCTGTAACTGCGAGTGAACTGCCCATTTCGGGGCGAGATGTTAAGATAGTAGGCTAAGCTAGCTTTCTAATTGGATCATAATACGTTAGGGACGTGATGCTTGACGCTAAAAACACCGAGGAGACTCTTAAAACTGCCATATTTCCATAATAGCTCCTGCTACCATGTTCCAATTTCCATCATAATATCAGTCATAGTTTTAGCACAGCACATCTCGGGCTGTTAATGTATATTATTCCAGTGTGTTACAATGTCGATTTAAACGCAATAATGTGCTATTAGCCGAAGCCGTTGTTTTTACAGTACACTGGCGTTCTGCTCGCTGTGATGAGGTAAATATGTCAGGGTACGGATGCCTGTGTAGGGATGATGCAGCTACTCTGTCGGAAATAAACAGGACTCACTGATCTACATGATGCGGATGATTAACCAGATTTGCAGGATCTGCTGTGAAAGCTTGTTATTAATTCGTTACATTGGGGTTGTTTACCTTAATTGAAACGGGGAAAATAAGTCGTCAGCTGGTAGGTCTGTGGCTCCCATGGCAACATTGGGGCCTAGCAGTCTGAGACATAAACAGAGCCTTCTGTGCAGGCAGACCAGCCTCTGCAACTACATGCATACACATAAAAATACTATTTTGCAAACGAGAATATACACTGTCTGCAGAAAGGTATACAGTTTCCTCGCAAACAGTAAATGATCTGTGCAGCCAAGCCAGCATTCAGCATGTGCCATGGCTGCTATGTGCTTACTGCATGTTTTTGTGGAAGCTGTTAGCTCTAATGTTTTACATGTGTTCTGGATTCAAATATTACAGGCTATTTTATGCACTTTCTCTTATATATCCCTGCTGGTAGCAGTGGCGTGTCCAAGGTATTTTGATCGGGATGGCATGCATCAAGCCAGGGTGGCACTGAGCATTGTGTTTTTGACCCTTGCCAAAGACCAATAAACACACAGACAACTTTCATTTTGATGACCTTTGCTAAACAGTGACACTGGCTATGTGAACCTGATGGGAGCTGCCATCACTGATAGATGGACAGATAGAAAGATGGATAGATAGACTTCTTACTTAATTTTATTGCCATGGTCATGCTGCTATGGACATTGTAGTCTATTTAGAGATTGTTGTGGCATACATAACTTCAAGTAAACAAATTCATACATATACAAATACAACATTTAAAGCTGCCATTATAAATACTTACAATGGATCAAGTGGGAGCATATCTCATGTCCCTAGGCTCCTATGTCCCCCAGGTTATAGAAATAACCTTTTTCATTATTGCTAAAATTTTCAGTGTGTTCTGACAATAGAACATGAGACAGATAATCTGTGAAAAAATCAGGTTCTTCTGGCTCCCCCTAGTGTTTCTAATGGTATTTGCAAGAATCCACCAGGCCTGAATGAAAACAACCAATCAGAGCTGAGAAAGATATAAAGATGCTTTGGGTTAGAAACTTGTAGATAGTTGATTGTTGATTCTCATTCCCAGGGTTCCAAAGTGTCTGTATTTGACACCCTGTGAATGAGAATCAACAATCACCCAACTTTCTTCTAATCAGTTGTTTTCATTTAGGCCCGGTGTATTCTTTCAAATGCCATTAGGAGCCAGATTACTTGCTACTTTACCTTGTTTGCCTGAATGGTTGTTGATGATTGTGATTGTTTTAGTGCTTTGCACTGTGGGATACAGTAGGCTAGGTAGACTGATCTGATGGATGCAGGGGATTTTTTCCATCTGGGTATTTTTGGCGTACTCACAGATTTGGCAGATTTTGCTTTTGTATAGTAGGCAGTTTCCAGTACAGCCAGTGTGTAATGTACCTCAGACACTCACAAATGCACTTCCCCTCACTTCTATTGAGCATTTTGGCATCTTTTAGCTTACTGTTTTGGTTATACGGCTCATAAGCTATGCTATCATGGCTGCAGTTTTCATAACAGAAGCTCTGATAAACCAACTGTACACTACCAGCACAGCAGACGGATGGAAAGTTACTGACTAGCTGGTGAACATAGTGTAGAATTAAGCAGCTAAAGCTAAACTGAGAGTGAATATTGGATGGAAACTATGCTCCAAATAAATGCTAAGGTTGCTCTGCTGCAGTAGGTCATTTTTAGAAAAATAACTTTTTTTCAGTATTGCTGAACTTATCACTATATCCTGACAGTAGCACAGAATACAGATAATCTGTGGAAAAATCTGCTTCCTCTGGCTCCTCCTAG